GGAGAAGGGAGTGTTGGGAGATGTATATTTATTTTTATGACAGTATTTAATAGAGAATGGGCACCTTTGGTTAATCCCTCTCACCCCCTCCTCCACCCCCCCCTCTCTTTCTCTCTCGCTCTCTCTCTCCCCTCTCTATCTCCTCTTTTCCTATGTCCCCGCTTTTCTCTCCGTTATACATCTATTTACCCCTTACTTTCTCTTTTTTTTGTCTCTACTTCCGCACGTCGTCCATAAATCATAATTATATTATCTCACCTTTACATTTTGTGTACGAAAGGGTGTGTTTTCACTGGAAGAGGTAATGCAAAGTAAGGACAGCAGGTTGGAAAGAGGAAATGGGGGGGGGGTCAAAGAAAGACATTTGGCAGCAATAAATATAGAACCAGAGGAACGGAGAGGGAGGGAGAGAGAGAGAGAGAGAGAGAGAGAGAGAGAGAGAGAGAGAGAGAGAGAGAGAGAGAGAGAGACCGAGAGAGAGAGAGACCGAGAGACAGAGAGGTAGAGAGAAAAGATAGTGGTAGTAAGAGTGAGAGAGAGGGAAAGATAGACAGAGAGAGAGAGAGAGAGAGAGAGAGAGAGAGAGAGAGAGAGAGAGAGAGAAAGATAGAGAGAGAGAGAGAGTGAAAGAGATGTTGGGAGGGGATGGGGATACATAGTGGAAGAGAAAGAAAGAAAGAAAGAAAGAAAGAAAGAAAGAAAGAAAGAAAGAAAGAAAGAAAGAAAGAAAGACAGAAAGAAAAAAGACAGAAAGAAAAAAAGAAGAAAGAAAAAAAAGAAAGATATAGAAAAGAGGAAAATAGGGTAAAAAAGAGAGAGAAAGGTGGACAAAAAGAAGGGAATAGATAGATAGATAGATAGATAGATAGATAGATAGATAGATAGATAGATAGATAAATAGATAGATAGATACATACATACATAGATAGATAGATGGGATGAGAGGGTAAGAGAGAGATAAAGAACACTTTTTTTTTGGGGTGGGGTGTCAAAGTGTGGGGAAAGAAAAAACCCCAAGAGATGAAAGCGGAGAATCTTGGCAGAGCACAATGTATTGTTGTTGTTTTTGTTGTTGTTGTACTCATACAAAGAAGTGATGAAACACAAGACACGTAAACCTCTTGGTCATTTTTTTTTTTACTGCTGATAATGTCATTTTCAGATAAAAGCATACCATAATAACGAAGGAAAGCGAAATGAAGATATAGCAAACATTTTTCATCTTTTTACCACAATACATTCATCATTGGTGATACAGCGTTTAGATCTTGGGATTTAATTACAGGATCAACCAATTTGAAAAAAAACAATGCTGTACAATTTGAAACAACAATATGCACGGTAATGGCGGAAGTGGCACATAAACATAGTGGATGCAAAACGAATAGTATGAGAATATCATAGAAAATACTCGCGGCTAATACTCATAATAACAGCCACAATATTTAGTTTTCAACTGCTTTTTACTTACCAGGCGAGGCCCCAGAATATGAATTTGCATCTCCTATATGGATCTTAAACGAAAACACTTTTTTTTCTTGAAATAAATAACAGGTGAACAAACAGACGAATACGCATTCACAAACACACTTAAATGCCCACTCACTGACTCACCCATCGACCCACCCATTTACCCCCCCCCCTCCACACACACATACATAAACACACACACACACGTATACAAACGCGCCCGCACACACATATACACACACACAAATACACACGCACATACAAACATACCCTTACCCCTATTTGAATACATACTATGCTTACAAACGCACAGGACATCTTATTGAAAAGGCAAACAAAACAACAAAACAAACAAACGAAAAAGATAGGACTCTATAAGAGCTTTTACTCTCTCAACAAAGAGTCCTTCAAAGATATCAGCGCGCAGTTCTGTAGATGACGACCCCGCCATTGAAGTAGCAACAATTGGTTGTATTTCTCAGATAGGATTTCTTTTCAAACCATTATGACTTTTGTTCTGCTCTTTAGATGCAAGACACGTACTCCATAAAGGTTATAAAACGCACTATGATATAGATCTAGTTGTAGACATTTGCACGTTAGGACTCTTGTTTAGTGACAAATAGAGAAGTGAACTATCTTGAACAGTAAGATCTTTTGTACACACATGCAAGACCATGTATACGAATGATTATCATAGGCCTATTAATTAACACTTTGTCACTGGGGGGACAACTTTCTGATCTGTGAAATATTACATTTATTTGCTGATCGTTAATTGATCCGTGTTCTTATAGTTTTTTCCCCACCAATCACCGTACCTGCTTTAACAAAAAATAAAACTGAGTAAAGAAAAGAGCATTCATGTTAAAATGTTTATAGCAGAAACAAATCTTTAGATCGGCAATATATTAGCTTTAAATACAATGATAATATTGTGCAAAGACAGTTCAAATACTTTAATCGGGCATTCTCTTGCAAGTCGGGCAACACAATTCACTCGCCAGGACCTTTGGTTTTGTTTGATCTAATTCTAATTTTTCAGTTGCAGTCATAGGGAAGTTCGAGAATAACTTTTACTGGAGAGAAAGAGAGAGAGAGAGAGAGAGAGAGAGACAGAGGGGGGATTAAATGAGAGTCAAAGATAATTGAAAGAGAGACAGACATATAGAGGGTGTGTGTGTGTATGTGTGTGTGTGTGTGTGTGTGTGTGTGTGT